CTCAGTAAACAAGTTTATATATCAATTTATCAAATTCAAGCTCGACTCGAAGTTTGGTTTAAATCGAGTCAAACCAAATAATAATTTGTGAAAAGCTCSACTCGTAACCATCCCTAACTACCGTATGGAAAGAAAGTATTGAGAAGGAAATCTCATTTGGAATGCATAGAGGCCATAGATAAAATATATGGGGAATTCACACCAGCTGTAAGGGAGATGTTGCCAATACATGCAGCACATGCTGTGATGCATGTGCATGTGGGTGATGATGTGATCTCATGTGGGGGAGTCTATTCCAACTGTTTGCAGTCTTTCCCCGCTTCAGTCATCCCCACACACCTACCCATGAGGAGATGTTCCCGGTGTGCAGCTCCCTTTAAGCGGGCTTCAGCCTTCAGTTAATTTACAGTAGTTACTTTCACCGAGCTGCTTTAAATAAGCTGTTAAAACCATCTACATCCAAAAATTAATGTTCTGCCGAACGGAACATTAATCTATATATAACATGCATTAAAATTTGATGGTCCATGCTAGCATGTTTTTCTTTTAAGATAAGTTATTTATTTATTTTTTCAAATTTTCTTTTGTTTTAAAATATAAAAAAGTAATCATTGCCTGGTTTGATTACATTAATAAAGCTTTACATTATGAGAGAGACCTTTGAGTTTTCTAAGGTCTCTTATTTTGATGCATATTATTATTATTACATTTAAGAAATACATTTAAGAGAGAGATAGAGAGATATAGAGAGAGAGAAATAAAGAGAATGAGAGTAAAAATACTAATATGTGTGTGTGTATAAAGCCTTTGTTGAGTGAAAGTAAAATAATGGAAATACATAATAATAAACACATTTTTTCTGATTTCCATTGTAACACTATGAACAAATATCATCCTAGGCAAGGATTATAGTGTTTAAATTATATACTTTATAATTTATACGAAAAAACAAATGTATATAAATACACTATGAACTAATTACATTTATTTCTTGAAGATTATTGATAATTAGTATATATTTTCAAAAACTAATTTTAATTGTTATATTTTTTAATTTTTGGTAATTTATCATATTTATTGGAAATCATGTTAATCCACTTTTGATAATTTCTTGGATAATTTATCGGTACTTTATTTTTGGTTGTTTTCTTGGTTAATTTTTGTTCATTAAATGCAATTTTTTATATATAGCTTAAATTATATTTAAATAAATATTTTAAATATAGTTACTTTTAATTACAGTTTAAAATTTAGTTTACTTATAGTTTCAAATATAATTTAAATAATATTTAAAATACAATTTAAATTATAACTTACATTAAATAGATAAATTGCTTCTCTCAAAGAGACATGCTGACATGTGCCATCCAATTATATATATATATATATATATATATAGATATAGATAGATAGATAGATAGATAGATAGATAGATAGATAGAGATCCAAGCCACGTGTTGCTCCCCTCCCCCTTCAAATTTTGCTTCAAAATCCCCTTTTATATTTTTATAAAATTTTAAATTTTTTAAGTCCACGTAATTGAAAATATATGTTTCAGAGTTTCCTACCTCCAACAAACAAGTTCAAATTCATTAAAGGTAATGTTCTGCTATTTATAGCTTAAATTATATTTAAATAAATATTTATAAAATATGGTTAATTATTAATACTATAATTATTAAAAATACTGTTAATAAAAAATATATTATTTTAATAAATAATGATAATTAATTAAAATACTGTAATTATTAAAGTTCTATATTATTTAAAAATATTTTTAATTAATGAATTTAATATTTTACGAAACACTTTTAATTAATTAATAATACCATAATTATTAAAAATATTGTATTAATTAAAAGTACAATTAATATTGTTGATTAATAAAATACTGTAATTATTTAACTATTTTTAATTATTTAATAAATATTGTAATTGTTAATACTGTTTTTAATAAATTAATTTACATTATATTGATCAATAAATACATTATTTAATACTATTTTGAGTAAACACTGATAATTATTTAAAAATACTATAATTATTAAAAATATTTTTAATTAATAAATACATTATTTTTAATAAATACAATTAATACTATTAATCATTAAAAATATTGTAATTATTATTAATACTGTGAATTTTTATTATAATTTACTGTTATTTTTATTTTTAATCATTAATTATTGAAAAGTATAATAAATTAGCATAAATTATCCAAAATTACTGTCATTTATTGTAAATATCAAAAAACTCCTACTTAGGGTTGACCATTTATAACTTAGCCCAATCTGGATTAGACGTATAAATTTTTTAGTTCAAGCAATTATTTTCTTTTAAGCTAGGTCTAGCTCAAATTTATTCCAACCCCACACATAATGTAAACAATAGGAGTACAAATGGATTGGATGTAGATCAGATCCATCTACATCTACATCCGCCTTTTATTATGAAATCGATAGATTTACATTCACATCCCATTATTATGTCAGATTTTGGATTATATTTGGATTTAATCTGTAACCATCTTATTGTGTTTAAATCTGCATCTAATTCAATTATTAATTGGATGGAAGCGCTAACATTTGAATATAGGATAATTGGATTTGGTGTCAAATCAACTATTGGATTTTCGGGGCCCAATGACAACACTAGTGGACAAACTCAACCTAAAAGCTACATTCATATATACATACATACATACATACAAGTAACAAAATTTATATTAATGTATAGGTATAAATTTATATATATATATATATTATAATAAAGTAAAATTAAATATAAATTTTAATTAACACAGGCAATCATGTTCCTTTCCCAAGCACAAACAAATATTATTATGCCTAAGGTGTGGGCCAAGATGGGCTAGGCAACCTATAAAATTGTTAATATACTATCAAAATCTAGTGCGAGATCTTATATGTTTTTTGGTTCATTAGGCTACATAATGATGGTAGCCCATCCCCCATAACTCCTTCAGAGTCAGCTTAGGTGATTTCCACATTGTTCCTATGAGTGCAACTTAGGGGATTGGGTCAAGTTGATGATCAACCAAAGCTTGAACTCGAGCTTAGATTAATTTAATTATAACTAAAAATTAATGTAGAGATCAATTTAATCATGACTACAATATATATGTATTAATATTTAAGTAACATTTATAAAGAATTATAACTTTTAATAATTAATAAACTAAAATAAATAGATAATATGAAAAACTAATTATTTTATTAAGTAATAGTTGCACTTTATTATTTTTGTTAAAAATTATTAATACAATTAACTAAATTAATAAATTATTTTGTAACAAGTTACTAAAATAATGATTAATGATTTTAAACAATATTACATTCTTTCCTTATAATAATTATTAATTTTCGTTATTTCAATTCTCTTTCATAAATCCCGTATATCACACGGGTCCCGCTAATTAACAGTAAAAACATTTATCGAGGTTAGTTGGTGTGTTCATGTACAAGGCTGTATTTTGGTTTGACAATTCTATCCCCAACCGCAAGTGACGCTMTCATTCATTCTCCTTTGTCCTTTCTTTTGTAGGTGGGAGTAGTGAAGGTTCCTTGTACTGCATGTACCATATAGAAGATCTGGGACGGTCCAGATTAGGTAGGGATAGCATTGTAAATACACTCAATGAGCATTTATAATTTTTTTATACATATCCCTTTTATTTTTTAAAAGCATTGTTTTAAAACGTTGTTGAGGCGAGGCCAAAAGCCTAACCCTCGAGACGAGGCTAAGAGAAAGGCCTCGCCTCAATAGCCACAGGCCCACAGCCACAGACCCACTAATAAGGCCTTTAATTGTTTGAGGCATATGCCTTTGGACTTTAAGATTTATATAGGGGTAAAACAGAAATTTAATAAAAAAATAATGTTTGGTTTTGTATAGATTGATGTATTGAATAAATAAATAAACATGTAAATAACAAAAAAATGCATATAAATGTATAATAAAATAGTTTGCTTTATTATTCATATTTTATATCTGATGATCTATTTTGCATCACATAGGTGGTCATTTTCCACTAATGCATACAAGTGCAAAAAACTAAATGGAAATGCTTTACTCTTAWAACACTGTTGGTTCATATCCCTGGTTTGACTTATGTTCTAGTGTTTAGATGTTAGGAAAAAAAACTACTATGTTAAGTTAGGTTCAAACTATCGTTACGATACGCCATTTTTAAGGTATTTAAAAAACTCTTTTTTAATAATTAACATAAAACGAACCATGCTTTTGATGCAAAATTTAAAAAAATAAAAAAATAAAACAAAGGATGTGCATGGTTCCAAGTTTTGATATTTGATACACCCCTCTTGGGCTATTGGGGTGTATTGATACTAAWTTTGTGTTTAATATATCAAACAAGCTATATAAGATCTTAATTTTATGTTTTTATATCTTTACTGTTTATAAATTATTATATGCTTTCTTTTTGCTTGAGGTATAATCCTTACGCCTCATCCTATGATACCCAACTTACCCTTGAGAAAGATTAAAAGCAACTTTTGGACAATTATCGCTCATGTAGTACTTAAGCCCCACGATACACCACAGAGAGTTCAAATCAGCCCCCACCAGATTGCCCCCACAATAACGTCCCACAGCGCATCCCCGCCGTGTATTGTGAATATCTCTTGATGTTCCTAATAATACACCTCACAACACATCCCGGCCATGTATTGAGAATATCTCGCGATGACAAGTACAGAAGAATCGGGAGAGAACGGCTCCTTTATAGCCAGAGCTATATAAATATAACCGGATATGATCACGGCTTTCACGGTGAATTAGGCAGAACCGCAGAAAAGATGACATTCTTCTTTCCATGTGTTTCATCTGCAGGTTCAGAGTATCAAGTTTTGGTAGCCATTATTGTTTTCTTCTTGTGTTTGAGATGGTTGTTCAGACAAAAGAAGCAGCAAATCCCACCGAGCTGGCCACTCCTAGGCTCACTCCCTGCTCTAGTCTGCAACATGAACAGGGTACTTGATTGGTGGACTGACGTTTTCATCTCGCTTGGAAAGAATACCTTCTACCTGAATTGCCCAATCTTCTCAAACCTCAACTACGTGGTCACCTGTCATCCCAAGAATTTCGAGCACATCCTCAAAACAAAGGCGGACAACTACCCCAAAGGGAGGAGCTTCGACGAGGCATTTGACGTTCTGGGTGACGGTATATTTAACGCAGAGTCCGACTCCTGGCTTGCACAGCGGAAGACTGCAAAATCCATCTTCACTACGATCCAGTTCCGAAGATTCGTCAACGACACGCTCCAGACGGTGGTCGACGAGAAGCTTCTGCCCCTGCTTGCTCGTGCGGCCAGGGAAGGCTCTACCCTTGATTTGCAGGAACTGATCATGCGGTTCACCTTCGACGTCATTAACATTACCATCTCCGGCAAAGATTTGGGGGGTCTTTATGAAGATTTCCCTTCCGACGTGCTTTCACAGGCCATTGATGATGGTCAAGAAGCCATACTTTTCAGGCTTTCGACGCCAAAGCCGCTGTGGAGCCTGCTGCGATTGTTGAGGGTTGGGCCAGAGAAGAAGTTGGCTAAGGCATGGGAAACGGCGGATGGCTGCATTGTGGATCTTATCTTGCGCAAGAAAGAACAGTTGCTTAAGGGTATAGAAAGCGAAGCAAACTCGCTTCTCTCCAACCACATCAGATCTCAGGGAGAAAACAGCGACTGGTCCAAGGCTAGGGTCATGTTCCTCAGGGACATGGTGCTCAACTTTTTTCTGGCCGGACGGAACACTACTGCTGCTGGCGTTATGTGGTTCATCTGGGCGGTTTGCAGAAACCCTCGTGTGGAGGAGAAGATCCTGCAAGAGTTGAGGCTCGCGATCTCCCGTAAGCAGTCGAAGGAAGGCAGCAAAGACAGTAGTGATCAGGAGTATAAGAACAAGCAGCAGCCATGGAGTACGTTCGATTTAGACGACGTAGGAGACCTGGTGTATCTCCATGCAGCAATCTGTGAATCCCTGAGGCTGTATCCAGCACAGCCCATGAACTTGAAGAGTGCAATCAAGGGAGACGTGCTCCCAGATGGCAGTGTTGTGAAGCCAGGGGTGAAGATAATGATCTCCATGTATTCTCTTGGGAGGATACCGTCGATCTGGGGGAACGACTGTCTGGAATTCAAGCCGGAGAGATGGATCCTTCCCGATGGGACTCTGGACAACGACAAGATTTCTAAGCTGTTTTTCGCCTTCAGCACAGGGAAGAGATCTTGCTTAGGCAAGAACACGGCTTTTGCCATAATCAAGTTGGCTGCTGCTGCTGTGATATTCAACTTTCAGGTTCAAGTGCCTGAAGATCAGCCTGTCATTAAACCGGGCATCATGCTTGAGATGAAGGGTGGTCTGAAGATCAAGGTAAAAGAAAGGGCCAGTAGGCCGTTCTAATAAATAAGAAATTTGGATTTTTGTAGGAGTTAATTTAATGCATTGGTTAGGGTTTCTCCCACAAAGAAGATGTATATGCATGCTTAATTATTAGTATGTGCAAGGTCCGTTTGTTTTTGTTTTATTATAACTATGTGGCTAGCTGCTACTCTGGTCGTATTTTAGGTTGTGTTTGGTGGGAGCGAAAGATGTAGAACTACTTTTTAAGCTTTCAGTATTTAACTAATTTAATGTATATATATTAATTATCAGTCTATTAGAACATTGTTTGGTATTAACATATAATTCACTTACAATCAATGGATTTTGGTTCGTCCACAAGGATAATTGGGGTGTCCTACTGTCCTCTTTGGTGGTCTATGTTTCACAGCCTCCGCTATCCACAGGGCCCTGTCCTCGTATGACGTCTCATGTTGGACTAGGGAAAACTTTGGCATATATACTCTCCGTGCCTTCAGCGTGCATGTCTCGATCAAGCAGGCATACTCTGTGAGTAATCTACATGTTTTGCACTTAGACTCGACGCTGAAGTATATTAACCAATCAAAATTCACASAGTCCGGATTTCCTACTAACTTCCCTCTTCTATTCCCTTCTCTACTAATCCAATAAAATGATTCCAGTTGTCCTTAATCATGTTAGAGGAGTCCACTTTAGTGTAACAACTAACCAAGAGTTTAACCCCTCCGTTAAATAATCTTTTTAAAATATATCAATTCTTCAAACATTAATTAACCTTTTCTTAAAAAATAACTATTTCATTTAAGCTCAAATTCTTCTTCCCCATTAAATACTCTTTTTTGTTCTGTGTGCTTCATCGTTAATATACAAAAATCCCTTTCAGATTTCTTCAATGAACCAGTCTAGCATTTATGCTTTTACGTTATAAGTAATTAAGTATGATCTCCCTCCCTACTCCGCTACTCTCTGATACTCCCTCTCTGTATTCTCTCCTTACACTACATTTCTGTATCCAATGGATCGCGGAGGGATGATAAGAGCAAATCCTTGGAAGAAGAGAGTGATAAAATCAGTCTCTGAAATAATCGTCGCGTCGTTGTTGGTGGTAGGTAGTCTTCGATGTCGTAATAGCTACGGCACTTTAGCTACGGTCAAAAAACCGTCGCTACGGTGACATAGTTGGCGCCGACGCGCCGTTGTCAACAGTGCTTTGTTGAAGGAGAGAGTGGTAGCAAGGCCAGTTATTCCAACTATTAGCAGTTTTGATGCTTGGGAGTTGGGACAGAGATCGTTTCTAGGTTGATGTGTTGACGATCAGCGGATCTTATCAAAAGAATGCCCAAGAATGCATCGAAGCAGTGCGTCGAGTGGAAAAAAAAAGCCAAAGAGGTATATGAAATTAACAATAATGGCGACCTGGAATCGGGTGGGATGTATTACAGATGGGACGAGTACACGCCGAGGAAGTTGGCCGAACAGGGCTGTTTCATGCTAGTTACGGCGTTGTCTTACTTGGGTGTTTTGGAACCATGGCCTCTGCATCATGGTTACAGGGCCGCCATTAATGGTAGATCATCCCATCAGCGGACCAACGACGAACAGATCAGAAGACTGTACGTCTTGTCCATGTTTGACCTCAACAACCAGTTCCCCATTGTAATCCTCAAGCAGCTGATGAAAACTGATTTCTTTAGGAAGGAAATGAATCTGAATCTCAAGTCAGTAAAACTTAAGCGACCGAATGATCTAATGGGGATGGTCTTGTTTGACGTGCTAGTGCAGAAAAACAGCTGGGTTTCAAAACTACAACCGCCCACCCTCCTCTACGCTCTTTCTCATGGGATCATGACACAGCGAGTTTATTCAGGACTTTGATTGCTTACGAAGAGAAGCTCTACGGAGACAAGACGCTACAGTGAAGTGCTGGCATACCTCAAGTTCATGTCGGAGCTTATTCGCACTCCGGCCGATGCCAGAGTCCTGGCGTTAAGTGGAATTGTTGTTGCAGAAGCCGGATTAATGGATAACGAATTGCCAAATGCATTAAGTAAATTAGTCGAAGGCAGAGAGGTACACAAGCACAATCTCCACGATGTTCAGAACCAGATTCGCCGTTACGTGAAATAGTTATTTTTTAAGAAAAGGTTAATTAATGTTTGAAGAATTGATATATTTTAAAAAGATTATTTAACGGAGGGGTTAAACTCTTGGTTAGTTGTACACTAAAGTGGACTCCTCTTCCACTTTAAGAATATATTTTAAAAAGAATATTTAAGGTTAATTAATGTTGGAAATCCGGACTGATCATTATCGCCAATGAATGTCGGATGCGCCTCCTCCTCTTCCTCCTTCTTCCCTCCTCTCCAACTTTCATTATTTTCTTTCTTTCTTTTTTTTTTTTTCCTTTTCTCTCCTTCCTTTCTTTCTTTTTTCTTTCTCGTTCTCAGCCGATAACTATCTCCTTTTTTCTAATAAAAGATCACCAAGAGTAATAATATTAATTGCCCTAATATTCTAAATCGCCTAAATCATTTGACCCAAATGGTCGACCGGTTTTTTAAGCCTTAAGCCTTGGTTTTAAACCTGGCAGGTGAGATTGGGTTCGAGTTAGGTCAAGATATTTTTGGGTCATTTCAGTTCAGTCACCTTTGGGGTTGTGTTGACTAGGGCTGTTCATAAGTAGGCCAAATCCGACCAAACCGACCAACCCGGACCGACCCAACCCGAGTCGGCCGGGTTTTCATCAGCACCGTTCGGTTTCGGGTTGTATAAATTCATAAACCGATGGTTCGTGTCGGTTTCGGTTTTTTTGTGTGAAAACCAAAACCGATCCGAACCGAACCGACTTAGTTCCTACTTAATTATTTAAATATATATTTCGATTTTAAATTAAATTGACCTAATCTATTTAAATATATATTTCGATTTTAATTTAAATATATTTTATATTTAAAACTGTTAAATAAAGATATTTCAGTTTTACATAAAAACTGAAATATCTGACAACCCAAACTTGCATCACACAGGCACATGGGCCATGGGGGGCATGGATGAACTTAGAACTGAAACCGACCCAAACCGACTCAAACCGAATAGGTCGGTTTTGCTTAACATTGGGTCGGTTTCGGTTTCCATCTCAGGTAACCTGACCAGGTCGGGTCAGTTGGAAAAACCTCAGTAAACCGACCCAACCCGACCCGTGAACAGCCCTAGTGTTTACAAAAGTCTAAACCCTAATCCTAAATATTCAGGTTAGAATTGACCCATGGGTCAGATGGCCAAAGCTTTAACTACCTGAGTTAGCTAGTATTTGATCAAGTCTATGTTTCATTTTTACAAAACTTAGGGGTGCAAATTGGGCGGGCCTGATCTGAGCCCAAATCAACCCATACCGCAATTTTATATGGGCTAGGCTTAACTTTTCAGTCCTTAGGCTTGGCTTGGATTTTTGGTCCTCAAGTTCGGCCTAGGCCCAAAATCTTGGGCATTTTAATATTTTAGGTTGGGCTAGGCCAACCTAACCTTATCCCAACTTGAGACTAACCCAATTATATACATACATACATACATACATACATACATACATACATACATACATACATACATACATACATATACTCATATAGATACATATTTGCATACATAGATGCATATATGCATAATTCTTTTAATAAACCATACTTAGAGGTGTAAATCGGGTCATGCCGCCTGTGGCCCGGCCTAGCACGACCCATATATATTTTATTAATCTAGTTATATATATTATATATATTTATATATAATATATTATATATTATATAAATTATAGTTATATAATAATATACAATATATAATATATTAATAAAATAAATATTTTCAATTTTATTATACTATTTTATTTAATTATTGTATATACAAACAATTATATACATCAAAATTCATATAAAATAAAAAATTTAAGATTTTTTTTAAATTTTTAAATAAATAGCTTTGACTTGGTCCATGGCCCGACCTGGCCTAAGGCTCAGCCCACAGACCAACCCGACTTGTGGCACAACACGAGCATGCGTGGGCTCGGGCCAGGCCATGCCGTGCCGACCCCCAAAATATCCCAAGGGAGGGAGGCACCTGCACTTTGTGCGGGTCGTGTCATGTTCGTCCAGCATGACCCGTTTTACAACTCTAACCATACTTATATGCATACATGTATGCATATACATATACATGCATATTAATTTTTAGTATGAGATGATTGACCAACTTGATCCTAGCCCATGCCCAACTTGAGTGCATCAAATTTTAATGCGGACAAGGCTTGGGTAGGATCAATTAGGGTTTGACCTTAAGCTCTGGTCGAGCTTGGGCTTTAGGCCCAAATTTTAGGGTTAGGCTTGAGTTGAACTAAAACGTAGACCAACCTACCTAATAGACCTGTTCATGGGTCGGGCCGAGTTCGGGTTGGGCTTTGTATATATATCAACAAAATAAACTCAAGCCTGAGCCCGAACCTGGCCTGACCATCGGGCCTAAGTCTTGGGCCCGAGCCTGTTCATGGTCCGGCCAAGCTTGGGCTTTAGGCCCAAATTTTAGGGTTGGGCTTGAGTTGAACTAAAATCCGGACCAACCTACCTAATAGACATGCTCATGGGCTGGGCTGGGCTTTGTATATGTATCAACAAAATACACTCAAGCCCGAGCCCGAGCCCGGCCTAACCATCGGGCCTAAGTCTTGAGCCTGAGCCTGGCCCTCATATAAAGCTCGAAGCCCAAGCCCGACCTAACCATCGGGCCTAAGTCTTGAGCCCAAGCCTGACCCTCATATAAAGCTCAAAGCCCGAGCCCGAGCCTGAGCCCGACTAAAAATTTGAAAACATATTTTTTTTTCTTTTTTTGTTCAATAAAAAAATTGTTTTATTTATATTAAAAACCTTCAAAACTAAAAAATAATAAACATCTCATTATTACTTGGAAAAAAAGAGAAGAAGAACAAAGAAAAAATATTATATATATATTATTTTATTAAATAAAATATATTTTTATTATTTAATATATATTATCAA